GTCAGTTAAACTGAGATTGGGGAGATTGTAGATACAAGACTGTGTATGGGAATCTTTCTCAGAGCTCTTATTGCATTGATCATTTCTGTTTCCATGCTTGTAAAGGATTCCTGGATGTGTATCTCCTGATTCATGTCTAAACCAGTAGACGCTGTGATTTCCCTCACATCTTTCAGTGAGAACAGTACAGTGAAGATTCACAGAGTCTCCTGGGTTAAACTCGTGCTCCTTTACAGAAGTACTCAAGTCCACTGCTGACAAAAACTGCTTAATGTGATGTTGTCTTGTTTTTACCCCTAAAATTAGAATAGGATTATACATTACTGTATATACATTATATAATTTTATAGTTTTGCTAGGTTTACTTACCTTTATAGTTTAAAAACAGCCCATTGCCGAAAGTTATATGATCATAGTCACGAGCACCGCAGTAATAGATTCCAGTGTCTGATGGCTTTAAGTCTTTTATAATCAAAGTAAAATAATTATTTTTCTTTACAGCTGTCAATCTTGTGTCGTTCTTGAAGTCTCCATAAAACGTTGGCGTTAAAGCATCAGCATAGAGACTGAGGATGCATGTTGGAGCTTCTCCCAGAGATTGCTTGAACCAGGAGAGGTAGTTCTCTTGCTCTTCAGATAACATGCACTCTAAAGTTATAGTTTCACCCGCAGCGAAGGTCTCCAGGACTTTCTTTTGAACGACAGCAGCAGATGTGATGAAGCCTGAGAAGAAAAAGCACAAGCTGGACCATCAGAGCAGATCAGAATAACATAAATATAAGGTAAGATTTAACTTTGCGGAACAAATCTCTCTTCCAGAGCAAACACACCTGTCCTAAAGAGTAGAAAAAATATCAGAAGTTTTAACATAGTTGAGGTTCTCTGTGCATTTGGTAACATCTTATTGAGCGTTTGTAAGACGTGTGGGTGTGAAACGCCTAGGTTTAGAGGAGTCAAGCCTTGTTTTTCTAAATTTAGATGATGGGTCTGATTGGGTGTTGTCATTTTTCCATTCAGGCTGTCTGACCAAAGACGTATAGCATGCTAAGTGGCTTGTCTTTTGCTCTTATGCTTATGATTGGAGTCTCTGTGAATCTTGTGTTATGATCAACTGGTAATATTTAATCTTTGTGAACTCTAATTTTCAGTATTGACCTTTTATTTTCTTTGTTACACAGCAAGCACAGAATTAAAAAAAACAGGTCCAGTGTTATTTTCTCAACCATATTGATAACCAGTAGTGGTGCAACGGATCACTAAACTCACGGTTCGGATCATATTACGGTTTTTAAGTCATGGATCGGATCATTAAAAAAAAAAAAAAAAAAAACGTAATGTAACTTTGCTTTTTATTTATTACTTAAAGCCCACTTAAGTACTCTGATAACATAGCAAAAATCTAGCTTTTAATAATTATTCATTATTAAAGACAAGTGAACAGTCAGTAATAAAACTTTATACAATAAATCTTGCATGTCACAAATAACTTGTTTTTCCACCTCCACGAATGAGACGAGTGTCGTTCATTATGTCGCCTTGTTGAAGTAAATTGTAGTTTTCCGTGCTTTACCCGGTATTAAAGTAAAAAGATGACTGTGAAAAATAGTAGTATTTACTGTAATTAAATGCATTTATGGTGAGATTACTACATTTTATGTAATTAAATGCATTTATGATTAAACATTTTTTTATTACATTTTCATGTCAATTTGTGTTCATTTTGACCACGAACTATGCGCTGTCACTTTAATTCAGCGTTTGCAGCACAGCAAAAATAGACTCGGTGCGTATAAACGATCGCTGCACTGCTGTATACGCACCGCACCTGCAACAGATCGCCGGACCGCATCCGCGTGCAGTGTGAAAGCTCTAACCTGTTAACATGGGTACGGGAAAAAAATATGCCACGCATATATGCACTGCAAACAGAGTATGTGTGAAACGGGTGTAACAGTAGTATAAAAAAATAACACTATAGTGTTCTCTGTATAAATTAAATATAGATTGATCTTTGTTAAAGATGTGTTTTGTTTGATTAACCTTAATGACAGCAGCAGATTTGGGTAACACTTTTTTTGAAGGGGTGTGCATAAGACTGACATGACACTGTCATAAACATGACATAACACCTGTCATGAACATGAAGGAGTCTTTATGAATGTTTATGACTGTTGTCATTAAGTGTCATTCGGTAAATTATGACACTTTTAATGCAAAGTTGACATTGTTTGAAATGTCTTTGTTATGACAACCTGACATTAACAAAGACAAAAAATGTCTTTGTTATGACAACTTGACATTTCTTAACCAAGAAATCATAACCTGTCAACCTGTCACAAATATGTCATAACAGGTCTAATTACCAAACTTAAATAAGTTATTTAGCTTTGCGTTAACATAACCGTGGGGTCTGATCAGTATGGATCATGGATCAATGGCGACCCATTGCACCCCTAAAAACATCATACTCACAAAATTATGTTTAATGACTGTATATAGTTTATAGTCTAGTGTATAGTTTTTGTCATAGTTCTTCTTAGCTCATCCAGACATGACCTATTCCAGATAATTCAGCCTTGCATGGATGTTTGACACACTTTGCATGCTTTTTATGCCTAATTAAAAAAATGAACGCAAATCAAGTCTACTAACATGACCTCTAACAATAGTATCCTGTAAGTGTAAAACATTTAAAAAAATGAAATAGTGCCCCCTATGTGCAGTCAATAGAAAAACACAGACTCACAACACATCCCTTTTGTCAAACTATTACAGCACATTTATATTCTCATCAGTTCCCCTAAATGTCACAATACTTCAATTTTATTTTCCTATGTTAATGAAAATAACAGCATATTTATATTTAAATGATCTGTTTGCATGTTAAAGTACAATACCCTTTTTTTGTATGTGGAACCACTGCATGACAATTCAGGATTATATAAAGGTTCTTTATATTAATAAAAAGCCAGATCACAGTTTATAAAGCCAGATCACAGTTGTCTGTGCTTTGCTTTGACTCTTGGGTTTCACTGCAATAAGAGGACGTATGGAAACTTTTACCCACAGAGACGTAAGCACGCTTAAGGTTGTTTGTTTGTTCTATGTTACTTTCAGAAACAAAGGGTGACCGCAACCTAAGCTCTGTGGATTGAATTCATTGTCTTATATATATATTTAGTGGGCATAAGTCGGTTTCCTAAACCATTAGTCAACATGTGAAAGGAACTAACGTGTGGTATGCATGCAGCTGCAGACCTTAACAGTGCATTGTGAAAAAATGTAGCCTTTAACACATATTAAAGCACAATATGACAGTTAAATAATGGTGCTTGCATAAAAGCAAAGAAATCAAGTTTCAGTATTGCACAGTGGTACAAAATGTATTATGCATTAAGAGAAATATTAATGAAAAGTCTGTAAAAATAGGTCACAATGTACTTTGTTAATTTGAAGCGTTCATTGTACGTATTGATTTTTCGCAGGTTTTTTTGAATTACGTATTGCATTTTAGGGTTAATGAGCTTGGCCTGGGAAATGATACAATAGGGGAACAGTGACATTCCCTGAAATCCAACAGAAATCAATTAAAAAAGTTTTGTTTTGTTTTGTTTTGTTTTTGTTAAAATAAGGCTGTCAATACACTGCATCTGAATGCAAGAAGATGAGTTATATACAACCATTGTGGTCTTGAATTTAGTGTCGTCATAATTATTTTTACTTCTCTTTTATTATTTTTTAGCATGAGAAGTATCAGCATGGGAAGTAATTACAGTTTCTACCTTTTTTTTCTCATTACTGTAATTCCATAAATTACTACAGACTATTGAAGCAAACTGCTAATTTTCATTTACATTAAAGAATTGTTATGTTCTAAAAATATAAATAAATCATGTGAAAGAATGTCACTCTTTTCTTTGAAGAAAATATTACTTTGTATGAAGTCACTGAAATTGTTCAAACTGTAAAGATGAAAAGTTAGTATTTTCTGTTTTGGTGTTTGATGCTAGTGTTTTTCCTCTCAGTGTGTTCTGAGTGACAGTGTGTGTTATCTCAGTGAGGGTTGTGCATAGTGTTTGTCTGCACTGAGCCTTTTTTTGAGCCATGTGTTAAGAGTTGTGTTGCTTGGAATGAGTTTTGCAGGTGATGTGAACTGTTTAGCTCAGGGGACTGTTGGTAGTGCAGACTAGTTAGAGTTTTGCACATGTAGCTCCAGTTGTGCTCACTGTCGTTTAGCAATCGAAAAAAAACTGTAATACACAATAGTAAGAAATTTGAAGGACCTTTTTTGAAATGTCACCTGTCTTCTGATGTCATTTGACCTTTTAAATTCTTCACACATTTCAGCTTTAGTTTGCATTCAGAGTCTGTCTGGAGCATTGCATGCATTCTGCAGTATTTTAAACCACTACAACAAGAAAATATACTGTATATACATTAAATATAAAAATAATAATAATATGCCATGTGTTTTGGGAATTTTTCATTCCTGACAAAGATCTGCATCTTAATTTAAAAGTTTTTGTACTTTTATTACCGTTTCATAATCAAATTCTCAAGTATATCTTCTTTTTATTCATGTGTTCACTTGTCACCTCACTTATAAACAAGGGGTATTTTGTCTGTGGTTATGGAAAGTAGTGTGAAAGGCATGTAGTGTGAATGTGTGGTTTCGCTGCAGTGAGGGGTGTGAGAGAGGAGCCGGGGGTCAGTCTGGTGAGTGGAAAACAGTCAAACTGTGATACACTTGTTTGATGCACAGGTTTGATGCACACCCACTACCACGCAGACATTTAAGAAAACCTTTATAAGATTTTTTTTTTTTTTTTACGTGGTCTACACATATCATTTTTTTGTTTTAAAAGCATGTTCTGCTAATAAATTGTCATGCGTATATCAAAATGTTCATCATGATCAGGCTATACAGCTGCTGCTCTCAACGTACTACATTGTTTTGAAATGTGTGTATAGATATACAGTAAGTATAACAATTAATTTTTAGTTTTGCAATCTGGTCCGCTGAAGTTCCCCTCAGCACGTCTCATTCTGCACTGAACAGCTTCTTCCTGTCAGGGTCTGTATAGGAAATGATCTCATTCACAACCCCTGCCTCTTCTGCAAGGGCCTGGTTATATCTTCTTGAGAAAGTATATAAACAGATCTAAAATAAAGTTCTTCGTAGAACTTTCACATGATTTCACAACTTTTATTGCATCAAAAATATTCAACATTGTAGAGCCCACATACACTTTAAATGTATGGCATTAGCATATAAATATTAAAGTCTTGATAAAAATATAGCTTGCAAACACAACATTAGGCTACAATATTGGACCATATTGCTGGACTATAGCAGAATACACAACATCTGTATCCTCCGCATGTCTGGCTGCTCTTCTGGGTTTCTGTTTTGAGAACTGTAGAGCTGCATACAATGTTGAATGAGGATCCTGCAACCGATCCAAAGATGCATTTAACAACAGAGCTACTGTAATCTTTCACTTATTAAATTCAAATCATTTTCACTTATTAAATAAAATTTAAATGCACTTCTGTGAAAATCTGTGTGTTTTATAAGGTTATCATATATAAAATAGAATTATAGCAGCATCAAACTACATTTACTGCTGTTTATTTTATTATTCAATGGTAATTCTGATGTTGTGGGTATTCGGGAAATAGTCAGGGAAAGAAAAAGTGGAATTAAACTGAAATTGTTCCTGATTTGTTCTCAAAACGCATGATAATTTTACCCATGCAAAATACTTTATAGCCAAGATTTTTTTACTTTATTTAAGAATACATCATATTTATATGTTATAATGTTCTGTTCTATAGATCTGGATTCTTACAAAAATATTTAAACCATGTAGTCCTTTAAAGAACATGGGTACTAAACAGAAAAAAGAAGCAGGCCTGCAGTCCGTATGTAAAAGATCATCAAGTAAGAAACTTAAAATCGCCTGAAGAATGCCAAAATATTCCGAAATATTTTAAAACATTGATATTAGAAAAGTCAGTTTATAGATTTCAGATATTTGAAACTCCTTTAAACAGCAGAGACGCACACATTCAAATCTTTTTGTACACGGGTCAATCTGATCTTTAATTGCAACTCTACAAGAATATGTATGCTTATCTATATATTTACAAATATGCTGCAGACCTCAGAGGACTTCTGTGTGAAATATGCTTTGCATCTAATTTTTACATTGTGTAATCAAATAAGTTTATGGAATATTTACCTCATGATGTTGTGTTACATGCTGATCAGCATCTGTGACAACGAAGAGAAACAGACATTTAGCTGTTTTTTTTTAACCAGATTTTTTTTTCCATTATAATTTGTTAAATACACTTGCTGATTTGTTTTTATCATTATATCACAGAATCCTACTAAAATTGTTTCACAGCACACAGTTATTTGCCATTCACACACCCAATATGTGAAAGCATTCACACTGGAATTAAGTATCTTGAACTAAATAGATGTACTATTACCTTTTTCCTGTGTTTTTCTGATCTTAACAATGAACAGTGTGAGAGGAATGATGATGAGAATAACAACAATACCACCAAAAATAAAGGTCAGTTTATAAAAGATGTTTCCAGGACAGTACTTTTCAGAAACTGGACTCTTCTTAAGATCTGTTAAAAGTAAATCACATTTTAATCAAACAAAACACAGTCTAGATAAAAGCATAATTGTACTGAAATTATGAATGTTAATGCGTGGTAAAGAAAGGCAAATGATAAACACCTTTATTTGTAACTTTGTAAGTTTCATTTTTCAGTGGTGTAACGCTCCTCTCTATGCAGTAAATGAAGAATTAAAAAACACATGTATGAGTCATTTAGAAAATCAACACAACTTTGTGTTGCAAGTCTGTAAATCATAAGATTTTATGTCTGTACTTTGCAAAAAAAAATGTTTATATTATTATACTATACAGTACAGAATGTGGGCAAGCAGTTCCTCAACAATATGCTGTTGCTAAAGAAAGATTACCTTTAATGTCTATGTTTGTTCCATCACCAAATGTGATCACCCAACTGCCCCAACCACAGTAGTACAGACCAGAATCAGAAATATCCACATTTAAAAGACTTAGAGAGCTGTTTTTGCGGTTCAGAGACATCACAAGACGGTCTGGTTTAAAACCATTTAAATATGTTGGCTCTACTTCAAGTTTGTAAGCTAACATCATGTATACAATACTAAGAGGTGCAGTATTGTTTGTTTGCTTGAACCATTGCATGTTGTTTCCAGTTTGTAAGGTGTGTTGACACCAGATAGTGACATTATCTCCTGGTTGAGCTGACATATTGGTTGTCTGAGATGCTGTAGCTGTGAGCAAACCTAAAACCCACAGAGGGATAACAAATAACTTTATATTAATATTGAGAACACATAGATTGATGACACACAAAAAGGCTGCGTTAATCATACCTAATGTTTGCTAATTAATCTAGAATTATTCATTCCTATCTTGCATGACTGAAACAATTATAGTGCAGTAATGCTTACCCATGCCACAGATCAACAGCGCTGAAATGATTATATGAACCATTGCTGTACTGAATCAGACTAGAACCAACAAGGAAATTAAAATGAGGAAATCAATGTGCTTTATTTATATGAGGGGGTGTGGCTTATACCAACACCAAACTATGACAAACCTGTCAATCAACTGGCAACTCCATAGCTCATGTTGCCAGTTCAAAACAAGAAGTTTCATTATTGATCAGATATATTGATTTTATGTGTTTTTTTGCTGCTTTAGCTCCCCATAGTTTCCCCATAGCACTTTTGAGAATACATTTTTCCAAATCAACTTTACAAACTACAAAAGCATCTTTGACACTTATGTATATGAACATGTCTTTAATTGATCATTTCTGAATTATATTATACAATTTACATGATACATTTTACCTGACCCGCACAAATTGTTAAACTTGATTTTATCCTGACTTGAAGTCTCTGAAGTCTCTTTCTACCTAACCATTTGATCTCCGATAATTAATAAATTAAAAAAGAAACTGTGATATTGTTCAGGTGTTGATAATAAACCATAGTTAATTTACAAATAATAAGTTTGAGGTTGTTTTATATTTCAAGTAGTGTCAGTGTAAACAACAGTTGAGTACTCAGTGTGTCTTCCTGCCGTTTTGGATCTCTTGTTTGAGAAATACACCGCAGCATATTCCACTGAATCATTTTCCTGCAAAGAAGCAGAAATGTCTTTCAAGATTCTAATCAGAAATTCTAAAAAGAAAACTCATCATATGATGTCTTAAATCTGATTCTCAAGCCTGTTTCCCTTATTTTTTTTTGCCCTAAATAAATTTTACAGCCAAAAGAAGAGCAACAGTTCACGTCCAATAGCCAACAGAATTAGAAATAATGTGTGATCCTGGAGCACAAAACCAGTCACATGTCGCACGGGTATATTTGTGGCAATAGCCAACAATACATTGTATGGGTCAAAATGAACGATTTTTCTTTTATGCCAAAAACCTTTAGGATATTAAGTAAAGATCATGTTCCATGAAGAAATTTAGTAAATTTCCTACCGTAAATATATAAAACATTTATTTTTTGTGCGTGAATAGCGGGCATAAATGGACAACTTTAAAGGCAATTTTCTCAATGTTTCTATTTTTTGGCACCCTCAGATTCCAGATTTTCAAATAGTTGTATATCGGCCAAATATTGTCATATCCTAACAAACCATATGTCAATGGAAAACTTATTTATTCAGCTTTCAGATGATGTATAAATCTCAATTAAAAAAAAAATGTAACCATGTGACTGTTTTTGTGGTCCTGGGTCACATATTGTTTAATCAGAATCAAAACAATTGTTAATACCAACAACACAAATATATTTTTTCTTTAATGTGCAACTAAATTTACTAAATGGCAGAACACATGCAAATGTATTGTCGGCAAAATCATAAGCATTTCTACCCAACATGGAGAAGCATAGCAGTTATTCATTTCCAATCAATTCTTTAATGTCATCTTGTTCTTTATAAAAGGGTCAAAGAAACCAGTGTGATCTGGGAGAAAATCAGTGTCCCACTAAGAGTACAATGAAAGTGATTTTAGAAAGAAACAGAACAAAGACAGAGATTTGCTTGTTCTCATTTCTACTTTGAGATATTTTGAATTTGTTTTATTTAGCCTGTAACATAATCGAAGTCTGTGAGTTTACCTTGTCATCGTGCTGTTGTGTTTGACATTCAGCGGCTGTCACAAAGCACAGAAAAAGAAAATCAGTTGCTGTTGAGAATATATTTTTTTGAAGAATTCATTCCACATTGGTGATTAACATTTATATTTGTGATTTGATTTGTGATTGATCTGTTTAACCATGTGTAAATATTATACCCTTTTTATGCTTGTGCCTTTTATGTTGCCTGATAATCGCCAAAAGGAGAGAAATAATACATGTAAAAAAAATGATGCCACCAAATAGCAGGGTCAGCATGAAAAAAATGTCTCTAGAACACTCCTCAGTAGATACAGGCGATTTCTCATCATCTGTAAAAAAGTGGACATTTCAATTTGACAATATTTATTACCCCACTTAGTGATTCCACAAAGAATTATTTTTTTCCCCCATGAATTGAGATATTAATCACATGCAGTTTCAACTTAATAGAAAGTAAAATGATTAACATACCCTTTTTTGAGGTTCCTTCACCCTTTTTCTCTGATATAAAAACAGTTGGCCAGTATGAGTCACTTACCATTGTGGCATTTACAATGGTATGTAAACTGTGGTGTTTTTCAACATGTGCTATTTATGACAAAAAGAGCTATAAACATTTTATAAACATGAGAGTATATTGAGATAAAAAAAAGATTACCTTTCACTTCAAGCCTGGTTCCATTGCCAAATTTCATGTGATATCCCATAGCTCCACAAAAATAGAAGCCAGAATCCGAAATACTTGCATGCTTAATAGTTAGGGTTGTGCTTTTGCTGAACAGATGCATGGCAATTTGGTCTTTTGTGAAAGTGTTGGAATAATTTGGCTCTACCTTCTGACGACTCTCGGTGTATATCATGCGCACAATAGTAATCGGTACATTACCGTCTGTTTGTTTGAACCAGTACAGGTCTCCAGAAACATGGATATCATGTGCACACCACATAGTGACACTTTGTCCTGGCTGAGCATTCATACTTGCTATAGAAAACATTACTTGGAGAAAACCTGAAAAACGTAAAAAGAAAAGAAGTAAAGCCATAGTACACCACAAAAACATAATTTTTACATTAAAATCTCTCCCCATTTTAATAACTCTCCAAAGATTTTATTACATGTCTCCAATCATAGAAATGTAGTTTACAGTAGATAAATCTTACCAGTCCCAAAGAGCAATAATGCTGCTGTTGAAATACGTAACATTTGTGCACTGAGTCAAACCAGAGTTGAAGAGGAAATTAAGTGGGCGATATCAATGTGTTTTATATATAAGAAGGAGGAGTGGCTTTTACCCCTGAAAAAAATATAGACCTGTGATACAAGAAATCTTTACAGAGAACATAATCAAATAGAAAATATATACTGATGAAGGCACCATGTTAAGTCTTCTTTTATTCAGTGCTCTGAAAATGTTTGGGATTTCCTGAATGGATTAAATCTGCAAATAGTCAATGAATAATATGTATAGGCCTATTCATGATTTTCAGCCTGTAAATTGATCTTTTCTGCTATTGCATCTATACAAGAGAGTAGTGATGTCACTATTAGGTTAATTATTTGCCTAAATGAACCCACTGTGTAGGCCTACCTTAGCCCTTGTCCACACTACGTTTTCATTTGAAAACGCATCTTTTTCTCTCCGTTTTGGCCTTCCGTCCACACTGAGACAGCGTTTTTATTAACGAGGGTTTACGCATGCACAGGAAGGTGAATTTAGCGTTTACCGATGTTTCAGTGTGGACGAGAAACCTTTGGAAAACGCTTGAAAATGCTAGTGTGGGCGGAGAGTATTTTTTTCAGTATGCATTACATGTTAATAATTTTCGCAGCATTCTTATTTGCCCCTTTTTTTAATCAAGCCATTGTATTACAAATGTGGGTTCAAGTTAAAGCGTCTAATTAGCAAGTCTGAGTATGCCATCCCTCATGCCATCCCTCAAGTCTGCCATCCCTCACTGTGGCCCCCTAGTGGTCTTTAAAATCATAGCCTGCACCCTCCTTTTGTCTACAAAAACACTTTGCTGGATGGTGGGTGGGTCTATAAGATAACACACTTGGTTGATGCTAATGCTAATGCAAATGTTTCTTATAACATGTACAGAATGCTTTGCACCACTAAAATCACCCAGATGATAGTTGTTAGATAGAAAATTATCATAATTATGTATGATGGAGATGATGTTGAAGTCACCATGAACTAAAAAATGACAATTCTTGTTTTTGTTTTTTTTTATGGAATATCGCAGTATTTAGATGGTTTTAAATGGTCAAGCACATAATTATTTAAAAAATAAATTAAATAACGTGCCGTCATAATCTTTGATTAAAATAACTTCCTGGTTCACTTGCAGCATCATCTCTTTTCTGATGATGTGTTTTTTGGTTCAAGGGCGGGACAACCTGTCACTCACATGAGATCAACCAATAGCAAACCACAACCATCCAATCAATTCCCCACAGACAAAATCAAGTTCTTCCTTACTTTTTTTTTTCTTATTTGAGAAGCCTTTTCACTGAGAAATACGTCTAAATACTAGGGAAGAAAAGATTACCGCAACTTCTGTTTCATGCATGCCGACTTTAAGGTTGCAAAGAGATAAGAAAATAATTGGTCATAATTATGCGTATTATCACTAAAGGGTTAATTTTATTCTTAAAAAAGAAATTTTGCAAAATTGGGGATTGGTAATATGTGTGCATTCATGGAATTGTTTTTCATTCGCATTTATTCATTCTTTGCACAATTTTTTTTAATATTAATTTAAAAACTCCAAACTATATTTAGAAAATACCAATTCTGATGAAACCATCATTAAGTATGCCATACTGGATTTTACTTCAGACATAAAAATTCTTAAAGGTGCCCTAGAATGTGAAATTGAATTTATTTTGGCATAGTCAAATAACAAGAGTTCAGTACATGGACATGACATACAGTGAGTCTCAAACACCATTGTTTTCTCCTTCTTACTTAAATCTCGTTTTTGAAAAACACCCCTGAAAAATAAGCGAATCTCCACATAACACCGACTGTGACGCAACAGTCGGGATCATTAATATGTATGTACGACTCCAAAAATTTGCATATGCCAGCCCATGTTCAATGACAGGCGGAACTGCGCAGCCGAAGCATGGCGGTTGATCAGTGTTTGGATGTACACATGAACACAAAAGTATTTTTTAGTTCACTCATCCGAGCCTCTGAAGAAACAATGGCTTAATTTTATTTTCTCTGGAAATTTCCAAACATTTCACCGACTGTTTCCTCAACTTGGGCCAATACAGAGCTGTCCTCGGATCGAGCTACCAAGCAACACTTTCTGATGTGTAATTGTTCAAGTTCAGACAGGTAATCTTTCTCTCAAAATCGTTCAATACTGTTTATGCATCAGTAAGTCAAGCCAGTGACTAAAATATCATCTTCACATCGTTTCTTTTAAAAAAGTATTTAAATTGTGAATAAATTATATACAGAAAGCGATCAAAGAACAATCTTTCCACAGCACGAGTTTATCTGGACACTTGCCAAACTCGTTATGAATTCAATGACGCACGTTACACTGCACAACTAAGCTCTTTTACTGTATTTACATGGTCGTGTTTGCATTGGTGAAAGCATTAAAGAGAGTGCAGAAACTGCGTTGCAATGATAAGATCTTCATTCTCGCGATCAACAGACTGTCATCTGCTCAATGCTCATCACGGCAACATTTTATGTGATGAGAATAAATCTAAATACTTTAAAAACATCTCACGATTCGTTAATCTCGATAGCTGTAATAGTAAAAACGTATAATAGCTGTAGTAAAATTATTCGAGAGAGTTTCACATGTAATACATAGCTATTTCATATGCAAGCATGTCAGCCAATCACAGCAGAGGTTACACACAGCAGACACGCCCCTTCAAACAGAGTGTTCAAATCAGAGGCTAAAATCAGGCTAGGAAAAATGCCTTTTATTTCTAAATTATTACTATTTTTGATCTAAAAAACATTATAAAATAATAAAAAAAACATTCTAGGGCACCTTTAGATATTTTACAAGATGAGATGAGTACAAAAGAAAACAACAAAAAAAACTTATTTTGCCATCAGAACAGACATGAAGCTACTTAGTAGTTTAAAACAAAGAAATTCAAACTTTTACAGGACATAACTAACACAGTTATTGCTATGAAACTGTCAGACATCGGACCAGTGAGGTATCATGCAGAAATTTAAATTAAGTGATGATGTTTCAGGCTATTCAAAAAGATAAAAGGGATTTTGGCAAGACGGTGTCTGTTTGAGATATTTACCGTAAAGTCAGTTCACTCAAACTACAAAAGGTGTTTATGGCAGATGCCACACTTGTGGTCTTGTGATACACGTGTGTGTGTGTCTGAAGCCACAAGACTATCGTCGGACTAGTGCATGTGAGTGATTTTTGTTGTGGTCATTATAGATCTGATTCTGAGCAGATCTTCATTGATGTTTTAATGTAGCTTCTTAAAAGGAGCTCGATTAATATCAGACCCACCTGACAATATTGCCGAGAGATGCTGGACATTCACACATTTACACGCTGTCAGATCGCAGTTTTGATGACAGCACACTTTTGTGATCACATGTTTATTTCTCTTCATTGTGTAATTAAGAAACACTTACGTAGAACTTAAGAAGGTCAAGTTACCGCATGACCAGCAGAAAACCACAACTAGCACACTGCCTTTGTCTTTTACATTTTTGAGAAGTAATTTTCCAGAAACATACTTCTTTTAAACCTATTTACTTTAAATTGCACAGAAACAGATTTATTTCAAACCTATTTAAATTGCACATGTAAACAGTCTTTACTGACGGTGGCAACTGGTGTTACTCGTGAGCAATTATGTCTCAGGAGTAAAAAAATATAATATGAAATCAAGTCTGTAGGAAAAGGTCAGTGGGGGGGAAAAAATCTGGTTCAGCACTTTTTTGACAAACACAACACATCCGCTCACATCGTTCATTGCTTCTCCGGTGATGTTCATTTAGTCATCACTCACCTGCTTTCTACTCGTTTAGAAATAGAATAAATCCATCCAGATATGATCAACTTTGGAGTTTTCCTTCTCTTTCTAATTGGTGAGTTGAACTGTCTTTAATGTCAAAACTTAAATGTTTTTACTTTAGCTATTTAAGCTAAACAATTTTTGCTTGTTATTTTTCATGTTTCTTTTAGGTCGTACTGCAACACACCTGAATAACCCATCTGTGTTTGCTAAACCGGGAGAAACAATTCATTTACCTTGCGTTTACCAGAGCCAAATAGCCATGCACTTCTCATGGTACAAGCACGAACCTGGACAGAATCCCAGGCTCATCTCCACCATTTACAAGTATGATAATAAGGCCAGGTTTTACCATAATTTCGAGAATAATTCACGCTTCTCTGTGATGAATGAAAACGGTGTGCATCATTTGGTGATAAGAAACATACAGATCTCCGATTCTGCAACATACTACTGTGGAAGCGCTTATTCCAACGTAATGGAATTCGTCGAAGGCACAGAGTTGATAGTTGAAGGTAATTTTTTGATTACCTATAATTGAATTGTTTTTAATATAATGAGTATTTATAATAGTTGAGTAATGAGTAGTTCATGATGTCTTACATAAAACTTGCTCAATAATGAAATTCAGGATATACGTATTTTGATTTGGTTAATATGCGTTCTTCATGAATATATAACCTTTTTTCATACAGGGTTAAAAAGCTACACTGTTGTAAAACCACACGCTTTCATTGAAAATCTTTCAAAATCTGGAGATTCAGTGAATCTAGCATGCACAGTTTTAAATTAGAACTGTGTAGGAAACCACAGCGTGTACTGGCTCATACATGAATCAGAAGAATCTCATCCAAGAGTTATTAGGGCACATGGAACGAGTGTTGATCAGTGTGATTGGATGTCTGAAGGCGGGTTTACAGCACGTAGATGCGTCTACAGCTTCTCTAAGAAGGAGCTCAGTCAGTCTGATGCTGGGACTTACTACTGTGCTGTTGCTGCATGTGGGGAGATGCTGCTCGGGAACGGAACCAAACTGGACACTATAGGTATGTTTTTCAAGAATGAATGGGGAGTGGGAGTGGCACTTTTACGATGTGTTAATACTTTACCTACAATTTTTCCTATTTCAGGTGCCGATTCCGCAGATCAGATGATGACTTTTGTTCTTCTTTCCATTGTTAGAACAGTCCTTCTTTTAATCACCATTGCCACAGTTACTGTTTGGTACTGCATGAATTCAAAAAGAATGTCGAAAGAGGGCTGTTCTCCGTCTGCCATGGCTTTCTGAGATCGAAGATCCCGACCAGAGGGAAGACCAGGACCCAGTTGTTCAAAAATAATCTGATCTGATTTCGGCTATTGGATTGAATCAAATCTTGAAAATGGGTTGGTCAAAAAAACAAAACAAAAAAAAAAGTCTTGCTTTTGATCTGGATCAAATCGTCAGTTTGTAGTAAGATTTTTGATCCGAAAAAATCCGGATTATCCTGGTCCCAGCTGATTCAGGAACAAAAATGTAATAAAACTTTAAAACTGGTCAAAAAATACAACATTTATATCATGTAATATATACACCAATTTATATTTTTTATTTTGCTCTTGATTAGTTTAACCGTTAAAGTAATAAGTAGACATTATACCTATTAAGCCTTTCAGTACAGTAAAGTATATCCATAAAATAATCTCCCAAACAGCTGTCAATATCAAACAGAAATAATATATTTCATTTTTAAGTTTTTTTTTAATCACTGTAAACTCGTGACTTTGGTTGTGTGTGTTTAAAAATAACAAATATGGGAAATAAAACTAGACAGATGTCTAAACTTGAAACTAAGAAGTAACAAGAGGTCTTGTCTATGAAGAACCAATCAAATTGTGGGAAAATTGTTGTAATGTTTCATGTCATTTTTGCCCATTCTCCTTTTCTATAAAAACTGTTGTATTCGTGTTTACTGGTGGGATTCTCTCTGAAATTTGTCTGAGATCCTCCAGCAGTGATGTATTCTTCTTCTTGGGGGAGATTCTCTGGAGAACTGCTCTGAGAACTCTCCCGGCCGTGATTAAACCATTTAGAGGACATTTGATGAAGTCTGTCTGTTTATTATTGCTGTGCAGCAAGTTAGTTAGGGAAGCAAGTTATTTAGCGAAACACTAGAGACCTTACTACCAAGTGATAGTGTGGAGTGAGTTAAGAACACTAGAGACCTTATTCCCAAGTGATAGTGTTCAATTAGGGGCGAGACGTCGTTCGACTCTTTGTGAGACTCTTAGGCGGGGTTAGACTGCGGCTTAGGCGTCAACCCGCGTGTTCAGAGGTAACTCAACTGAGTATAATATTTTCAGGTGTCAAGCACACCTGGTTCAACCTAAATCAGATGTGTGGGGGAAAAATCTACCACAATACATATTGGCACAATCCTCAGGGACGAACCAGTCGAAAGTAGTTACGAGTGTATTCACACCAGGAAAGTCCGATAGTTCACTTGCTTTGGTCCGGACCAAATACAATTTTTTTTTTTTTTTTTGGTACGGTTCGCTTTCACACTGCTCTTTTTGCAAGTGAACCAAAATTTGTAAACAAAACCACACGTGTGCTAAGGTCGTCCATTCATTGGACAAGGATTCTCAAGTAGGGAAATCATGAAGTGCAAAAAAGGCTCAGCATGGAGATATTTCGTACTGCAATATTTGTTATTTTACTAATTTTGTGTTATTCTGTACAAACGCAATATGAAGAAACTGCGCAGAAGAAGGATAAGGTATAAAGTTTTCATTCATAGAGAGGGGCTATGTTCACACATTCAAATAATGAGATTCTTATTGTATATACTGCTAACAAGTGCTGTCAATGTTAACGCTTGCGATTAAGTTTGTCCAGTTTAACGCAGCATCATCCTTGTATTGTAACTATCGTTACATTATATGAACTGCAAAAGCTTTTTTTGCATCTATGCGCGATTAGACTAAAGAGAACGCTCTGTATGTGAATGCCCTGATGCACACACTCATTCATTCATTCCATTCCAATGATGCACACACGACGCGCAGAAAGACGCGCAACAGTATCGTGTGGCCAGACAGCGCGCCGGAATGGAATTCTCTTTCGCACTTGAACAACAATAACACAAACCATTATGCCAAAATCTCAGACTACGGAAGCCTGTTAACTCAAAGGCGCAGTGCTTTCTTGCAATTGGGTCGGTTCATGTTCACACCGTAAACGAACTGTACCAGAGTTCGTTTGGAACCGTACCGAGTCCACCTCTTCAGCTGGGTCTCGGTTCGGTTGTTTGGTCCGCACCAGAGTTCGATTGCTGTTTTCACACCTTCCCAAAAGGTCCGCACCACGGGGGGAAACGAACTAGAGTTCGATTCAATCGAACCAAACAAGGCAGGTGTGAATCATAGGGTGTATTCACATCAGGAAAGTCCAATAGTTCACTTGCTTTGGTCCGGACCTAAAGCTCGTTTTGAGGAGAATTGGGTTGTAGCTCGTTGTCTAGGTTACTGTGATTGTAAATAGGTGTCGTCTGTGTTTTAACAACGTTTAGCTCAAGAATATTGATCCGGGAAGTTCGAATAACCTATGTGTATTGCCAACTTCACTGAACTGCTTGAGTTAAGCACTGACCGCATTTCTTTATATTTGAGTCCAAGTTCAAACACTATGAAACGCTCCATTGACGTACGGAGCTCTGAAACACTGCCAGCGGGACATTAAACAGGAATTGTCTGTCCGAGCTGCCAACAGGTTTTGCGAGGGAACGCAAATATCTTTGCGAGGGAACGCAAAGTTTCTCGGTTGAACGCAAAAGATAAAAAAATAAAATAAAAAATTCTCCCATCCTAAAATTGTTTCCACCACCACGTCCCTTTAGGGGCTCCGTACTAACGGGACATGGTTATGGGAGGAAAAAAAAATATTTAAATGTTTTAGCGTTCTCTTGCAAATGTTTTGTGTTCCCTTAAGAAACTTTGCATTTACTCTATCTTTGCGATTAAATGCAAAGTTTCTACCAAGAGAACGCAACAGCATTCAAATATATGATTTTTCTCCCATTTCATAAATTGATCCATCACCATGTCCATTTAGTGCCCCCGTAGGGGTCTGATTGTTTGAAGGAAATTGAAAATGGAAGGGGATGTTTGTTGTTTTCTATCTTTTCAAATAAAGCAAAGTGACCCCACATTGACTCTTGTACCTGTTGTTCTTTACATAACAGCCTTTATTGTGAAATCTAACCGTAATTGGAGCACTGCTAATCCAGATTTGGTAATCTGAAAAAGTGTTTATCTGGATCAGGTGATTCAATCATATTTTAGCCAGTACAAAAGTAAGATGGATTACCTGATCCTGGATAGCAAAACATAGATCTACACAATTCGGATCCAGATTAATTTTTTTAAACAACTGGGCCCAGGTCTGTTGATGATAATAATAATAATAAGAATAATAATAATAATAATTTGTTACATTTTCTGGGACCTCAAAGCGCTTCACATATGGAAGGGGGAATCTCCTCAACCACCACCAATGTGCAGGATCCACCTGAATGATGCGACGGCAGCCATATTGCAGCCATATTGCGCCAGAACGTACACCACACACCAGCTTACTGGTGGAGAGGAGACAGAGTGATGAAGCCAATCAGTATATGGGGATGATTAGGAGGCCAAGGGGCAAATTTGGCCAGGATGCCGGGGTTACACCCCTACTCTTTTTCAAAGGACATCCTGGGATTTTTAATGACCACGGAGAGTCAAGACCTCGGTTTAACGTCTTATCCGAAGGACGGTGCTCTTTGACAGTACAGTGTCCCCGTCACTACACTGGGGCGTTAGGACCCACACAGACCACAGGGTGAGCACCCCCTGCTGGCCTCACTAACACCTCTGAAATCAGCCTCTGATCATCCGTAATATTCAACATACTGTATCATTGTATTAATATCTGCTAACATTTTTTTTGATGGTCCCATGCACAGTCATTCTACTGGCTATAAGTATAACTGCAACTTATTGTACTAACCTGGGCCCTAATCTAACAGTCTACTGATACTTAACTAATACTCTAATGAGAGCTTCTTGACATGTAGGTCCAGCATTACTTATTGTCAACAGAATTTCTAATAAGGAAACAGTCCAATATCAAACAAAATCTGTTCATTGGTTCATGGGAGCAAGACTACCCTTTCATCCTTTTATTTCATGCATGAGCAAAAATGAGAAATGCATACACACTCCACAGAGATTAAAATGTTCTTAAATCTGCAATTTATTCCAATACAGAGTAGGGTTTGAATAGATGTTCTTCAGAACACAAACATGTTAAAAAAAATGCAACCTAAAAGATTAAACAGGCTATATTTGACAACACAGTTTTATAAGAAACGCTATAATAACATAAATAGAAAGAGTATTTCAGGCCCAGAACATGTTGAACCTCTGGTGTATTGTACAGGAAACATTATCCTTATTTACTGAACATGCAAGCAAAATCTATAAGAGGAATAAGAAATAACCATGAGAACATATGCATTACAGTATAACAGTGCTTAGAAGATACAACAGGCCTATTCACATACTATAAGTCATCTGTTTAATATTGTATGCAAATATAAAAAATATGACTAACTGAAAAAGTTCATAACAGTGGCTTACCCAGAACAGCTATTTAGGATAATTCTAGTTTGTCAGCTACGTATGTATAGCAATAGTGAATAGTTAAGCAACAAAATGGCACTAGATGTTCTAGGGAAATGACTGATATCAAATTTTTCAGTTTAAAAATTAACTGGACTCAACTAGACTTGGGTAGGGGTCTACTAGACTCAATTCAGTCAGCCTTCAGGATAGAAGTGAAAGAAACTGCTTGTGATCAGACAGGTGCTTAAAGGGTTAGTTCACCCCAAAATGAAAATTCTGTCAGTAATTACTTCCCCTCATGTCGTTCCAACCCCGTAAGACTATCGTTCATCTTCGGAACACAAATTAAGATATTGTTGATTAAATCTGAGAGCTGGATCACTCCTCCATAGGCTTCTTAAGGGATCGAAACTGGCCGGCCCAGAAAAATTAAAGACATCGTTAAAATAGTCCGAGTGACTACAGTGGCTCAATCTTAAGTTGATCAAGTGATGAGAATTCTTTTTGTGCGAAAAAAACACACAAAAAAAACCGAGAAAAAAAAAACAAAGAAACTGCGCAAAGCTTCTGTGTTGTACGTCACACGTAGGCTCACTATTGGCCGACACTGGTCATGTGTGTGATGCGTGACGTACAAGACAGAACCGTTGCGCAGTGTCACTACGTGAAATCTCGAGGCCCACAGAGAAGGAAATTAATAGTTGAATAAAGTCGTTATTTTTGTTTGTTTTTTTGCGCACAACAAGTA